AAATCAGTGCATAGTCAGTCGTCTCTCCTTTCTCTTATTTATTTTATATTTTTGAGTTCACATGCCCTCTTGTCATCGTCATGTTTTTTCAAATTTTCTTTAATCATGGTGTCCAGTTAAAGGGACTGGGTAAAGGATGCACCATTGTCTAAAAAGAATATTTTTACAGTACATTAATATTCACAGCTTTTGGGGTTCAAGCCAATTACGAAAAATGTGTGTAAATAAAATTAGAGTAAATAAAATGATATTACAAATGGAAAAAAAAATGCTGTTAAATTGGTTGCTTTCTGAAAAAATGAGCCAGGTATTGACTTTATAATTTGTCCAAAACGAATGATGCTTCTAACATATTTGTACTTCTTCATTGGAATAAACAGTGTGAAGTAAACGATGCACACATTTACTAGTGTTAATAGGATACTAACGTTCTCCATGGGTTTCAGAGTGATGTAAAACGCCATAGCAATTAACATTTCAAAAGTAAATATAATCTCCTTTGAATGGTTAAAGTATTCAAAATGGCGTCTATAAACATTAGGCTGAAACCCATGAAAATGTTAATTAGTTTGTCTAGCAACAGTTAAAGGTCCTATATTACACAGAATTGACTCTGTTTACGTCTCCAAAGCTCAAAATGTTCTGTTCCTTGTGTACCTTGTGAGCTCATGAAGCAGCTACCTTTTACCTTTTCTTTAGTAGAGATTTGTGATTCCAGGGCTGAAATTATCTGAGTGATTCTAGTGAAAATGTGTGGAGTTTAAAAACACACTTTGGAGCTCTTTCCGTATTGCTAAATGACATCAAAAGCAGGAACAGAGTGTTATCTGTTAGAGAGAAGAACTCAGCCTAAATATGCAGGATCTGTGTGTTAAACATGTGTGAATGAAACAAAACTCCAGGTATGTTTTTGATGAGGAATCATTATAACATTCATCAGAAAATAGTGTAATATGGGCCCTTTAAATTCTGTTTGCTTTAGTTTTAGTTTAACTCCACCAAAAATGATGAAAACAAGCTGTTAACCTGAATTTCATTTAGAACAGCTTGGTCCCTGAAACCTGGAATGCTTATGTCAACCTTCACCAACCAAATTAAAGTAAATTGACTATCACCTATCATATTTGTGGTAACAGTAGTCAGTCTGTTGTGAAGAGAACTGGCTCCATTAGCTAGCTGTGTTTGAGTACATAATCTGCACACTGGTACCTGTGAAAACTTCATGAACAGCAGGTGCACCTCCCGCCAGCGCTCACTACACTTCACACATGTTCCAGACTTGTATCTTGTTTAATGATGGAGAGATAATTGGGAATTTTTGACAGCTACTGTCAGTGTAGCTCAATCAGTGTGATCCCATTAACAAGTCAACACCTCACTCAGTTACAACTCGGAAACTTCCACTTAAAGGGCCAGTAGTATTATTTTCTGAACTGTTATAATGTTTCCTCATTAAAGACATACCGGAAGTTATGCTTTGTTTCATTCACACATTTTAGCTGAACACACAAACCCTGCACATTTAGAGTTCTTCTCTCGAACAGAAAACACTCTGTCCCACCAACTAAAGGTATAAGGTCATTTGAAACTACAGCCACATGACATCACAAGGTGTAACAGAGCATTTTGAGCTTTGGACATGTAGACAGACTAACAAACTCAAACAACAAACACAAGTCCAGGTATGTTTCTGAGAAGGTAACAGCATCATAACATTGCATAAAGCTCAAGTCAGGAGTCAGCTTTGCGTAATATATGACCTTTAAAAAGTCAACACCTCTCTCAGTTACAACCCAGAAACTTCCACTTAATTATATTTACCTTGCATAATATCACTATAAACTTCACATAAAGTTGCTAGCGTTGAAACTTCATCTTAACCTGATTATAAAGTCCCTTTAACAACTGCTTTAAACCACCATCAGGCCTTCAAATGCATGCCCCAATCCACATGCTTCATTTCTTGCTTCTGTGTGACAGGCCCCTGTCGCTCCCTGTTGTTCTATTACGGATACACACTTGCAATGTAATATGACGCCAAATTATACAAGCAAGATTTCAATTATGATTCCATATTATGAATATTTTGTGTGTTTTATAATTAATGCATGAGCTGAATGTTTTGACAACGATATTTAGACTTCGCTAATGGCACACTGCATGACGGTCACTGGGTGTGTGTGGTGCACGCTTTATCATAATATGCCATGTTTCGTATACATATTTATTAATCACTGTAGCGGACCAGTACAATGTTTTGTCCTGAGAATGTTAAGTGCTCAGGCTCATTTTTCAACATGTCCCTATACACCACCTGCATGTGTACTGTAGAGCTAGCTGCTATTTATGCGTACTGTTCTCTAGAGTTAACAAGTTCCATAATGCATTCTCTGGTATCACTTCTTGTAGCTGTATCATTTATAATACAGTAGTGAAAGGAGCAGATGAAAAAATACATCCGCTTTTTCTTTTTTCCTCATTGTTTTCCATGCGCATCCATATATAATACCCCAGTAAAGCAATTTATAAAGTGTTGATAAATGGAGTAGAAATTGTTATTAATATAGTTTCTACAGTAAACACAAGCGGTTAGCATTCCGAAGCATTTGTACCAACATTTAGTCTCTGGTCTGGTAAGCTTATATGACAAAGCTCATTACTGTTAACACGATGGGGAAAAGGCAATATAACTTTATATTGAAGATCTCATATTCCATTGTTTAAAGTGTTATAGTATTACCTAAAGGAATAAATACAAACTGCACCAAAATATATAAGTACGTGTAGTCTGGTATAGCACTACCTCAAGATTTTAAAACGCTTTTCTTTACAACTGAAGTGACTAGCTGAATGTAAAGGTGCACTGTGTAACTTTTAGGTTGGTGTTCCGTCACTTGCTGGTTTCTATGGAGATGTTACTGCTCTTTCTGGTTCCACAGTATGACATTAAACAACTATCTCTGTCATTCATTCAGTTACAGGTGTTTTTACAGCTCAAAAACACCTAAAGAAATAAGCATTCTGACTGAGCGAGGTTGCCTCTCCACAGATCTGACCTGTAACTTGGTCCGGTTTGGTCTCCGTGAAGATAGAAAGGTTTAATGCCATATTGTGAAATATTCTAGACAACAGAGAAAAGCATTTGACGGCCTCTCCGCCAGAAAACACTACATTACTATTACACTATGCGCCTTTAAAATGTGTTATTTATTTATTTAAAGGTGCATTGTGCAACTTTTTTGGAGGGTGTCCCCATGTCAATCTCCATGGAGATGTTAATACATTGGTTTAAATTGTCCAGTATGGTTTTAAACTAATCTGTCTTGCATTTATTGACCTACAGGTGTTATTTATTGCTCAAGCATAACTTAAAAAAAAACACATCCATTCTTACTGTGAATGGGGTTGCCTCTCCACAGATCTAACCTGTAATTTGGCTGGCAAGTCTCCATAGAGAGTCATAAGTTGATTGTCATACTGCAGATCATTCTAGGCACATCTTCATGAAGACAAGCGGGTGACAAGAGTCCGTCACCTGCAGTTACACAGTGCACCTTTAATTTAACTTTTTAACATAATGAAGTACATGTCACTTTAGGGCTTCCATACTTTCTCCAAGTTTCCAAGAGCGTGTAAGATTAGATTCCACTACCAAAAAGCAAGTGTGCTAGAATGAATAGATCATCTCCACAGACTCTGCATGGGTTTTCACAGACAAAATCACAGCTTACAATTGTGATAATGAGAACAGTAGAGGAAAACACTTCAAATGTTGGCATAGAAATCAGCCAGAGGAAAAGCAAAGACGTATTCTCTAAAGAAAGATGATGTATTGTTGTACACTAATGGACAAACACTCCTGCTAACTTTAATAACTATGAAAGAACAGATTGCAAGAAGTGTGTGTCCAATGAATTTATTTTGAATAGCCTAATATCAACAGTCATAGTTTCGTAGGGATTAACTGAAACAGTTGACTTAAAATGCAGTTACTTTAATAAAGATTTGGATTTTAACTTAGAGTTGATTAACAGTTCTTGAGGTAAAATTAACTGCAAAACTAAATGGGCTAGGATTACCACATAATATAAAATATGACAGTTAACACCTTGGTATTGGGGGTAGTTCAATGGACAACTAATAATAGATAGTCCTCACAGTAGATAAGGGTGTGTTAGTTTCATTTTAGTGATTAGTTTCTCCCTTTCTGAAGGTTTTTAAATGTGCACTGTGTAACTTTTTGATTGGAGGGCTGTTACCTGCTTATTTCTATGGATGTGTCAATATGCTGCCTGGAATGTTCCACAGTATGACATTTAAAGCTCTACCTTGCATTTATTCAATTACAGGTGATTTTAGAGCTCAAAAATACCTAGAAAAACAGGCATTTTGACTGTGAGAGCCGTTGCTTCTCTGCAAATGTGACCTGTAAGTACAATCCCTCAGTCGTCTAGGTAGGATAAATGGGAAAAGAAGAAATTTGATTTGTCAACTGGACAAAAGTTTATTTTGGTCACCCAAGCTGTGAAACCCAGGCCTGAAGAAGCAGCTTGAATGAGCTGGGAAACGTATTCGACCAAAATAAACTTTTGTCCAGTTGATAAATTGAATTTCTTTTTTTGCTGTCGGACTTGTAACTTGGTCTAGTTTTTTCTCTATAAAGATAGAAAGGTTTAACACCATACTACGAAACATTCCAGACAAAGCAATAACATCTCTATGGAGAAAAGCATTTGATGGATCCTCCACCAGAAAAGTTACACAATGCACCTTTAAGGGGGTGACTTACCAGAACTGACGAAGCTACTTAGATGAGATGATGTCTTTCACCATTTTTGCTAAGAAAGTGACCAGTGACTAAAAGTTGGAATTCAGAGGCTTTGGGATGATAATTGTTAGTATTCTGTAGTCAAAACACAGTCTAAATAAGCATAAATATATGTACTCAAACTTAACATTGTAGCATTTTAAACAAATATGTATCCATTCTTCTACATTAGGCCGACAGCTGACAATCTTCAACACCCAAGCCACTATCTCCATCGGGGGCAATGACAGGAAGAGGCCCTACCAGGGTCAGCTCTCAGGCCTCTACTACAACGGCCTCAAGGTCCTCAACATGGCTGCCGAGGGACACGTCAACATCAAGGTGAACGGGAGCGTGCGACTGGTGGGAGACGTGCCCACGAGCAAGGGAGCAGCTCGGACCACAACTTCAGTGCCCCCCGAAATGTCCACCACCTTCATAGAGACGACAACTACACTGTCCACTACCACCACGAGGAAACAGCGCTCTCCACCCACTATTCAGGTAAGGCAAAAGATGAGACTTCACAGTAGTTATAGCCGAGCTGGTAGCTGGTACATTTTAATTTTCATTCCCTTCATTTTAAAAGGTTCTATCTGCTTTTTGGGTAGTTCTGAAATATTGAAGTGTAAGATTTCGGATAATTCTTAGAGCACAATGGAATCAGGAAATTTGTTTTTGCTCATATAAACCTAAAAAAAGTACATACATTATATATAACCAAGTAGCCCTACGCAATCTTGTTGAAAACGTACAGAAAGTATCATAGAACAAGAATATGAATAACTCAAGTTTGACAAATAGAACTTTTGAATTCTTAGGGGGTGTTCTGGCTTCTTGTCACTTTGGTCAGTTGAAGTATATGGTTTTCCTCCTGCCTTGCGAGCCGTACTTTTAATTAAATCTGATATCTGTCCGGATTTAGAATCAACCAATTTTGTAGCTTAGAGCCATCCATCTTTTTCCGCTTATCCGGGGCGGGGTCATGGGGGCAGCAGTATAAGCAGGGACTCCGAAACTTCCCCCACCCCAGACACGTCCTCCAGCTCCTCCAGGGGAAACCTAAGGTGTTCCCAGGCCAGCCACAAAGGCTTAAAGCCAAAACTGTATATGTAATTGCAAATTAAATGCTAAGTCATCCATTACAGTTACAATCATTATTAAAACACATCAATATGTGTACATTTCATTGAAGATAATATTGCTGCAGAAACAATCCATAGACGTAGTATAATTTTATATGTCAGAAAATGCATTTCTATCAAGTAATTGTTGGACATTGTTAACAACAGAACGTGAATATTGATTGATATTGAAATCTAAATACCAATATTTGATGAGATAATCAACTTTTAACCAGAAGATTAATTATTTGACCCCCACTAATAGAACTGCATACTGCTAGGGATGTAACGATATCCAAATCTCACGGTACGATATTATCACGATATGCATCTCATGGTACGATATTTATTGCCATATTTTGAAGAGGCTAATATAATTGTAGATGGGACACTTTTTTGCTTTTAAAATACCTTGACAAGATTTTGGTGTGAATTATTTCCGTCATAATCCCAAGAATTCAAATAAAAACCATATATCTTCATGTTGTCTGCACTGAAATGAATCATGGGATATGTAGTTCCCGATGTTTATAATCTGTTGCTACTATAAAAGCATGCATTTAAGCAAAGAAACTTCAATATATTGTGATGGACCACGATATTATTTTGAGACTTTTGACGATACGATATCACAATATTTTGGTTATTGTTACATACCTACATACTGCCTTTGTGTTTCTTAGCAAGGCACTTCACCAACTTTGCTTATGTTTGCTGTATTATACTGATTCTGCAGCAACTTTGCAGTAGTTATCTGTCATAGTTATTATATACTTGATAATTGGGCTTGCTGTTTAAAGCATTAACTGGTATACCTAAACTCGACCACATGAAAAACTCTATCTCTTTTGACTCTAACAACTGCGTATCAAGCTATTGTGATACTTCAGGGGCAGACTGTCAGACATGTTGTTTTTGCCCTACCTGATCAGTCAAGGTCACCCCTCATTCAACACCTGACTCTACTCTGTTACCCTGCACGTACAAAACCAACTTACACACTTTACTTTCTCTACTCTTTCATCTGTCACTGTGACAACCTGACACTTTATGTTTTGTTCCAATCGTCCAAACCACTGAACGTCACCTCACTTCTGGAAAAGTAATCACGCCGCGCTGTCCCGTCACACCCAGAGGAGAGATTGAACTATGAATGTGGTGTTCATATTGAAGTCATAAGTCTTCTCCTTGGCCCTTCCTCAGTCAGAGCCTGTCATGTAACTCTTATCACACTCTTCACGTTAACTGCAGATTGCGTGTGGCGCTGATGGCCTCATGTGTCAGTGCTATGTTCTATCAGTTTGTAATAGTGCTATAGTTTATTGCGGAGGTGTCTGCCTGGGAAGAATTACATAGTTCAATCTCCAGCTATTTTTTTTATATTATAGATGTTTTGACGTGATGTGAGGCGATAATTTCTGTATTTATTTGCCAGGGCAAAATTACTAAAATTTCTGCAAACTTTGTTACAATCAGGAATGATTCAGGAAATTATAGTGATATTTGTATAGCGCACAGGCTTTGTTACTTTGAACAGTGCATAAAAGTGGCTGTAACTGATTTTTATTCCTGTCTTTGACTACATTTTATTTTGCTCCAGTGCAGCTATATAGCAGCTTTTGGAGGCAAAATGAGAGAGATGTGTGTTGTCTGCAGACAGTGTGCTCTTAGCATTGTAGTTATTGTTAGTGTCAGAGGTAGGGATTTGGAAATTGTGACATGGACTCGAGTCAGACTTGAGTCACTATTTTTAGGACTTGAAAAGACTTTCTATTCTGACCGTAATGAATCACACTAAGATCTTGACAAAGAAAAAATAGTATTTCTACAACTGTTATATAAATACTCATATACCATGACTTTTTAAGAACAATTTAGTTTAAAAGTCTTATAAATTCCAAAAATCTAAGCTGTATTTGGTACTTTGGTTTCAAAATGGGCCAGTGACTCAAGACTCGACTTGGACTTCCCTGTATTTGACTTGGGATTTGACTCGGACTTGAGATCAAAGACTTGAGACTTACTTGAGACTTGCAAAACAATGACTTGGTCCCACCTCTGGTTAGCAGTAACATAAAAGTAAAAGTCTGTTTATAAATGTACAATCTCTACTGAACTGAAGGTAAAAGGAGCTGTTAACTTGAAAACTAGTGCTTCATGACATCACAAGGTGGAACAGAGCATTTTGAACTTTGGAGATGTAGACAGACTAATAATGAATGAGTAGTCAAACACATAGTGAATGAAATGAAACACAACTCTTGGTATGTTTTTAATGAGGTAACAACATTTAAACATGGCTTAAAGCTCACAAAAGTCCATTTTGTGTAAGACCTTTAAAGGTGCACTGTGTATCTGCTTATGTTTATGGAGATGTTATTGCTTTGCCTGTAATGTCCCACTGTCTGGCATTAAACATAGACATATCTTCTTTTTATTCAATTGTCTTCCATTTGTGACATCTTGAATCATTTTGAGTCAGACAGTAGAATGTGAATACGACCTATTGAAAGCCACTTAACACCCTGTGATCTGGGGAAAAGCCCACCCCAAGCTGTCATAAGTCGGACTTGAAAATCTTTGTAAACCTGCATGACTTCAGTAATCTCAGATACATTACACAGTCGTCCTCTTCATTCTCCAACAAGGTCGAGTCAGATCGCACTGGTAAAAGGCAGCATTTCTGAGTTATACGCTATTAATTTCAAGGGTAGTCAATACTTTGAAAGAGATTTTGCTCGAGCGTGTTTCTTTTCAAGGTGGAAGGATAAAGTGATATGTCTTTTGTCAATACCAGAATGGAGACATATGTTCTCATTGTAACTTTCCTCTGCAAGCAACTTCATTCTTAACTTCAAAATAGTGGAATGTATGGTAGTGAAAAATGCAATACCAAGCTGTCTAGACCATGTTTCATTATAGTCGAGAATCTTTGCTGTTCAAATAACTTTAGATGGAAGAATTGGCCCCTAAAGAGTTATATATTGTCTAGTAGAGCAAGTGGGGTCAGCTGGGTTTTTATTCTTCAACTTTGAATCACAACAGCGGCTTCAAGATTTGAATTTTGATGGAGTTCAACTTATCACAAATTTCACTATAAAATTGCATTGGCGCAGCATTCACCAACCTTTTTTCTTGTAAGGACTGATAATAAACATACAATTTTCTCAGGGACCAGTGGAGGGGACAGGGCCAGTAACAACAGCACTATAACAAACTTAACCATAGTTTAATAATCAGAGTAAATATGGTGGTAGCCTAAAGGGCGTTTACTTCTTTTATATGAAGATATATAATATTTTTCTCTGGGACCCAGTACCAGATGCTTTGCGACCTGGTTTTGGGCCATGGACCAGTGGTTGGGGACCCCAGCATATGTGGATTCTGCTAGTGTGAGATGCATTACAAGACTCAAAATTTGGAGGATTTCTTACCCAGATCTCCCTCTGTTCTGAAGCATGATGGGCAATGTTGGACAAGTATTTGGAAAATTTAATTCTGCCTCCTAGTTTTAATAGTTGTACTAGACAAGTAGCCTGATTCGTGGAAACCATCTGACCTCACAGCAATAGGATTTGTTTGCTCAACAGTAGGCAGGTACTTTTTTTATTTAACCAATCGCTGCTATTAGGTCATGACATATGTAATGCCCCAAATCCCATAGGAAGAAGGACAATAACACCTTTCCCCTTGTTAAAATTCACCAAACATTCTCTGTGTTCCGGCTTTAAATCCTCGATCTCGGGAATCGTTGCCAACACAAAATGTATGGCTTTGTCTACATTAATCTCGACTGCTTTGTTTACTGTTGTTTTGTACCACAAAAGGGACCCAGACAGGTGCTTGAGTTTGACGTCATGGCTTCACAGCTCTTCGCTGATTGGCCTGTGCGAGGTCTACAACTTCCAGGGTTCTTGCAAACTGTCTAATGTATTCCGATTCCTGACCTAGTCACTGGAGAGAATTGAAATTGACTGGAGGCACTAGGTGGTGCCAGCCTGGCTACCAGACAAGAGCATCAACAACAAATGTAACAGCCTGACTCAGTATTTTATTTACCCAGACACAACTAACATGGAAAGAGTTTTAAAACTTTTCCCTATCATCAAAATGTCTTGTACTGAATAACACTCACGCATGGATTTCAGAGTGATGAAAGCTAAAGCCCATAAATAGTTCTGAACTTTGTTTGTCCCTCTTTTTTACAAACCAACATCATCATGTTTTGGTCCCTGTATCTATTGTGTTGACACTACATATTGAATCAACTTGGCAAACTAAGACCAAAGTTTTTTTTCTTTTCTTTTTTTTTTTTTTTTTAAGAGGGTCAGAAGTTCTCCCCAAATCTCCTCTCCTCTTCCTTGCACACACTAAATTCATTTTTCATCCACACCTCCGTTCCCATGGCGACGTCTGCTTTGATTCACACCGCTGTGCCACGGAATTTCATTTGCCAGGCCCTTTAATTTTACAGCTCCCTCGCCGGATGTCAACCACGGCGATTCGAGAGGTGCAGAGAGGGAACTGGCCTCGTCTTGGCAGATTTCTCCACCCCTTCGCGTAGCATGGGTGCGTAGGGGGAGCTGAGCTATCGCTAGTGATGTACTGCAGTGTTCAAAGTGAGCTATAGGCACCTGACACCGCTTGGACTGGCTGTAGTGCCGAATAGCATGTGCGCTGAATTTTGAATCAGCGCAAGTCTATTTTCGGAGCCCCAATTTCGCCTATTTCCTTGCGGAGGTGAGGAGCGCTGAGTCCCCAGGCGGCGAAGGATCAACAGAACGGGGCAGACAGGGGCGGGGTGGTGGAGGGAGCCAATCTCACGCTTAATTAATGATAGCTCCAACTGGGTATATGGTCTACTGCGACGGGCGCGTTCTGGCTGCTTTCCTCCCTCTCGTAGGTGGGGTTTTTGGACACTTGGATGGGTCAGGTGGTCCGCTGGGGGCTGGAACAAGAGGATGTAGGATGGGCTGTTCACACCCTAGTGCACAGTGTTGTCTCAGAGTGTGAAAAGGAAAACGGTTTGTGTGAAGACAGATAACACCAGGTTTGAAGGGATTTAACGTGTGTCGAAGAAAAGAGGAAAGAGTGGAATCAGTTGGAAATGGGTTTGTTTTTTATTGCAGTGACCTGTTTATATGTGCTTGGGGCTGGCTCAGGTTCACCTCATTTCAATGGTAGGGAGCTTGAATAATAGATTAAATAAAATAGTTGTTAGCTTTGCCACAATTCTAAGATTTCCAACTTGGTCTGTATGCCCCAGTGCTTAGAGCCAAACATGCGAAATAAGACTCCAGTTTGAATAAAGCAGACACCTTGTACTACTAATTACATTAAGATTCCATTCATTAAAGGTGTACTATGTAACTTTTCCAGTGGCAGATCTTCCACCAGCTTGTCTCCATGGATGCGTAGTCACAATAATAAAATTTCAAACTTGATTTAAATAATAAGGAAAAGTCTCAATACCAATTTTGTTACTACAATGACAATAAAACACTCTTTTAGAAAATATTATATGTATTTTTTGGACTATAAGGCACACGTAAAATCCGGTGCGCCTTACGTATTGATTGTGGTTGTGCTTACTGATTTCAAACTGATTTACACGGCCAGTGGTACACGGCGCTCAGAAATCTGTCAGAATGTTTTAGTACAACTTTTGTATGCTACGAAGCCACACTGCTTGATGGATTGTCAGAACATTATGGCTGCCGTAGTCAAGAGCCTCGTGGAGTAAGTCCGTCAGAAGCTGCCCGCATCAGCACACAAGGAGCGAGCTGTTTTTTCAGTGCTTATAGTTTATGCTTAAGCCATGTGGCTTTAAATTTTGTTTCTGTAAAACTAAACAATTGTGCACAAAGCTGCATTAAACACATTATTACTCAATGTATTCATCAAGACAGGAAGACAACGCCGGGTGAGTTACACCACTATCTGCACATGGATCATTGGATGCCTGGGCTAAGGGATCAATCTCAAGTGTTGTCTGTTTGTTTTGCTTAATGGGCCTTATAATCCTTATAGTTAAAAAATATGGTATTTAGGAAATAAGATATAATGTAATTTCAACTGATATTAAGTCTTTTTACTAATGGTGATATAGTTTTTGCTTTTTTCAGTATTGACACCTGTTCAAAAAAGTGTTATTATCAATTAATATTTTGGTTATCCTCTGTAGTGTAAATGTGAAGCTATAGTATATTTTT